ATTCACAATTATGATACTCCTATGTGTATTTGCATGCTTGGTGGAGATCCTTGTAGCTCTTGCCATGATTTCTTTGTGTCTCATGCTATTGATGCTTCATGTGTTGGAAGAGTCATGATGTCCCATCGATATTTACATATGGCCTCTCGCCAATACATTGATGATATTTTGCTCATATCTTGCTTTCATGCTTGTGATATGTCATGTGCATTATTCATGCTCACTATTTGCACACATGAAATGATTGCCATGATTCCTCCTAGTACGTTGCATCTTTGCACTACTAGCTTGCTTTACTTGATCACTATGATTGATTGGTTTGTCGCATCACCCATGTTCCATTCTTACTCGCTTTCTTGGGTTGATGACATATATGTTCATGCCTCTCACTTGATTTTTCTTGATCATTGTCTCTTGTCTCCGTTAGTTGCAACTCCCATATCCCCTTGTATTGAGTGCCGACTTGCTATGCTTATTGATCGCGGAGACTTGGACATATTACTTGTGATGCATGCTTGTTTGATTGAGCCTATTGTATTTGGTTGTTCTCGCATCATATGCCTCCATACTATGAAATGCTCCCTTGTCCTTTCTTATGATGAGCATGATGCATACACTTGTTGGGTATTTCACCACACGAATGTTTGGTTTTGCATTTTTGCTAACCTCATTTGTTTTTCCGAGTGTTTGTCATGTTCTTTCATTTATGTGAAGGCGTACATGATGTGCGACACCAACATTTTCGAGAAACTACTAAAGGTGAACTCCTTCCCTTTGAGCCATCTTCACATATGCATATCAGATGGGCCATAGTTTCATTGTTGTTTCCTTCTTCTTGTCTACATGATACATACATTGGATGGAGGACCGACATTGGAGATGGACCCTATGGACCTTCAAGTTGAGGAGTGCCTGGACTTAGTGGATGCACCACCGGACCTACACTTCTATCACGACATCGAGCTATGGTACAACACAAACATAACAAATTTGCATCTTATGCATGGATTGACTCACATTATGATTGCCTTGTTGCATCTTGTATTCCCATGTCATCCATGATATATGATCTTGTACACTTTCTTAGCAAATTTGCTGTGATCTTTCTTGATGGCATATTCATACATCATGATCATATTGCCTACCATAAATTGCATGATAACTTATTCATATTGAGCATCCATTACCATATTCATGCTATTGATAAACCGTCTCACTATGACATCATTTAGCACCGTCGTTGCATTGATCATATTCACACCACATTTGTGTGCACAATGAATGCTTTTGCTCCCATGAATGCTTTGCGTATCATTATATATCATCTTACTAAGCTTCATGTGCTTTGTCACAAACAATCTTGCCGAACGGACTCATGTTTGCTTGATGGACACCTTGTGTGAGCTAACCATTGTATTTCCAAGTGTCGTTTGTGTTTGCTCTTTTTGCATGTGTACCACTCCGGCGACACCTTGGAGTACTTGGATTGCGCCATGTCTTCCACTTTGTCCAACTACAAGTCCATCCATGACAACCGTTTCCATGATGATGAGGTTTTCGATCCGAGGTCGGATATTTCCCAAGGGAGCGGAGATGATGCGGAGCATCCTACGATCATCCCCATGTACACTATGACTACTCCCCAAGCCCCAAGTTCCCACATGTTGAGACCTCGAGCATGCGCCATTGGACCTAAGGTGAACTCCCTCCTTTCTGAATCTTCCCTTTCTGCAAGTAAGACATGGATGCTACTTCAAGCGCGGACCTTCTTGTGCATACTCAGGTACACCCGAGGAGACCATGGAGAGCCCAAGGACCAAGGCCAAGTGCGTGCGGAAGTGAAGGAAGAAGAGCCAGCTGCAACAGCGGCCGGACATCCGGCCCATGTCCCCGGAAATCCGGCCCTCCATCACTGAATGCATTGGAAGCGACCCAGGCCAGCCCGAACATCCGGCCTCCCTGCCCGGACATCCGACCCGACTCCTGGACATCTGGCCAACCCTGCGCGCAGTGTAATGGGCCACCGGCCCATGTACCCCTTCACTTCGTCCCCAACTTGTTCTACGACTATAAATAGACCTCTCCCACCTCCTAGTTAGGGTTAGCAATGTGATAGCTCATATTAGAGATAGAGCTTTGCTCATCCACTTGGTTACTTCTCCTTTGGAGTCCACGACCTCTTCGGAGAAGATCCCCCAAGCAGATTCAAGACCCTTTTACGAGAAGAACCCCCTCGAGACCTCCTCACAGAGAAGAACCGGTTACCTTTGTATCATCCCTTGTTGATCGTGGATCTTGTATCTCCTTTTGTGTTTCAAGGATCTAGCATATGTGTGACCTAATCTTGTTAGTTTGAGTGATTCTCTCGTGTTCCCCCTCGTGATTTCTCCTCGTGTTCTTTGTGTTATTCGCAGGATCCACTCCTTTCGTGAAAGATCAGCCATCTAGGGTTTCATCCTACATCATATTTCCTACCCGGAGCCACCGAGTTCATGTTGACATAGCCACTGCCAAAACCCTAACAGTTCGGTCACAACGATATGGATCTCGGTCTCACCGAGATGACCTTGCCAGTGCTCTGTGACTTGTAGCATTCACTTCGGTCCCACCAAGATGTTGCAATCGGTCCCACCTAGTTGGCTTGACTGATTCTCTGTTGCTCATTGCACTCACTTCGGTCTCACCGAGTTGATGCAATTGGTGCCACTGAGATGAAGTTTTCCCTAAGCCCTAGCACATCGGTCCCACCGAGATTCCTAATGGTCATATTTTTGTACAGATTCCGTGCCACCGAGTTTTCTGATCGGTGCCACCGAGTTTTCTGATCGGTGCCACCGAGATGGATCAAAAGTGTGTAACGGTTAGATTTTGTGTGGAGGCTATATATACCCCTGCACCCCCTTCTTCTCATTAAGGAGAGCCATGAGAACATGCCTATACTTCCACCATTCATTTCCTGAGAGAGAACCACCTACTCATGTGTTGAGATCTAGAGATTTCATTCCTACCACTTGAACCTTGATTTCTAGCCTTCCCCAAGTTGCTTTCCACTCAAATTCTTCTTTCAGCATAGCCAAATCTGTGGGAGAGAGTTGAGTGTTGGGGAGACTATCATTTGAAGCACAAGACCAAGGAGTTCATCATCAACACTTCGTCTATTACCTTTTGGAGAGTGATGTCTCCTACATTTGTTAGGTGTCGCTTGGGAGCCTCCGTCATGATGAGTCGAACCAAGAAGTTTGTAAGGGCAAGGAGATCGTCTACTTCGTGAAGATCTACCCAAATGAGGCAAGTTGCTTCTTTGTGGACCCTTTGTGGGTGGAGCCCTCCGTGGACTCGTGCAGCCGTTACCCTTCGTGGGTTGAAGTCCCCATCAACATGGACGTACGATAGCACCACCTATCTGAACCACGCCAAAAATCTCCGTGTCTCCATTGTGTTTGCCTTCTCCAAACCCTTCTCTTTACCTTCCTATACAATCTTTTACTTTCCGCTGGTATACTCTTAGAATTTCATGTGTAGGTTGATTGTTGACTTGTCATAATTGCTAGAATCTGCCCACAACTAAAATTGGAAAAATGATATATTTTTATTTGGTCAAGT